GTCCTCTGGCCCAAAATGGTAGCTCATCTGCCCTGCACAGGGAGAGACGGTGGCTCCCATTCACCCAGCTCCTCGTGCGTTCTTTTATTAGGCAATAGACTAGTTAAGAAAACTGTTTCTATGTACTGTATATTTTGTACCTGTTTACACTTCTAATATTGATATAACTGATATTTTGAAAAACAAATGAACAGAAAACATCCTGTTAAAATAAACCCTAACCAGCACCAAGGTGGTTTAGCGGGTTCCATGCTTAGAGCTGCGTCTTCAGAGCTGCTGCTACTTTTTTTTTTAATTACTTGATTTAATTTTATTTATTCATCATTTATTTTAATTTGACCAGAGAGAGAGAGAGAGAAAGCCACCAGTTCTGGGACTTGAACTGCACTCGCCCATGTGGGAGTGTCTAGCACTTTAAACACCACGCCACCTGTTGGTCTCTAGCACTGCTGCTTTTAACCCGGCCTCCTAGGGGCTGTCTGGTCAGCCTCCTTGACGCCCTCTTTCTGCGCTTGGGTACCTGGGAGATGTGCCTCTCCTAGAGGACTGGAAACGGGATTCCTGAGGACTTTGACCCTGGAGAGAAACCGACATTCGGAAAGAGAATCAAAGCACAACAAACCAAATTTGCTTCAGAATATAAACGTGGTTTATGTGATACCACTTTATATACTTTGAGATGATATATGTGAAAGTAGGAAGGCCTATGAGAAAAATGGCAGACTGTCAAAGAAGGCAGACGTGGGATGATTGCTCCTCGCATGTTTTCTTGGCTGGAGCCGGAGGACAGGACGGGCAATGCCTGTGGTCATAGCCAACTCTTGGAGCAAGTGTGTCGATGCTGTTGTCGGAGCCAACGACAGCTAACACCCCTGTTCCCACCAGCCTGAGTTCATGTACCGTTGTACCTCCTCTTCTCAATCTCTTTCGTTTGGGTCACAGTCTTTCCAAGAAAATGAAAACGTAAGATTCATCTGACTCAGCTATGGAGGGCACGTTGCAAGACACAGAGACGGGACGGGAATAGGTCCCATCCAGGCCACCGTGGGGTGACTGGGCTTGGGTGAGAGGAGCGCATCCCCTGTCACCTGCCTGACCTCTTCCACACTTCCTGTCCATTCCCCACAGGACGCACCTCCAGCCCTTGGAAGCCCCCCACCCCTGGGGCTGTCTCTGGTGGCTGCCTAGCCCAGGACCTGTCCCCCACTCCATGCCCTCCCCATCCTCATACGTTTTCACCTGTCTCCCACCCATACACTCCATGAGGGAATCTTGAATGTCCTGGCCAGAACCTCCAATCATAGCTCCTTAAATGGAAGACCCCCTCGTCAGCCTCTGGCTCGGGTACCACTCACCAAGATGGAGAGCACAGAGGGGAGCGAGTCTGCGGGGGACCTGAGCTCCACTTCTGACGGCCAGAGGAGGTGCCCAGTCAGTCACAGAGAGACCGAACAAGCACCGTGGAGTGGAGGGGTACGCTGCACCCACATCCAGGAGCCCTTGCTCCCACTGTCCTGATGCCACACTTGCCAGATCTCTTCCTGACCTCATCACTTCTCAGAGGCTAGGCCAGACACTCCCTGGGACATTCGCTTGTTCTAGCACCAAAGTATCTTGTTCCCGCACATTTGGGATTCATCGTTCCAGGCTAGTCCTTCATCTGAGCCATCAAAAGCACACCTGCTGCCACCCCCTGCATCATGTTCTTCCCCCTAATGTTACTGAAGATGGCCCCCATCCCTCTGACTCTCCGCTATCGAGTAACAATACCAGTTGGGGCTGGAAGGTGGTGTGGTGGTTAACGGCACTGGACTCCCCACATGGTGGACTACAGTTTGTGTCCCAGACCTAGCGACTTGCTTTCTCACTTTCACTCTCTCTCTCTCACTCTGTCCCTCTCTGATCAAATAAAGTTAAAAAAAATAATTCTTAAAAAAAAAAAAAAAAGAAAGAAAAAATAACAATACTACGTCATCACATTCACCGATTGAAGACACCATTTCAATAGCATTAAGATCTTTAAGATTGTCCTGGTCAAGTGTAACTATGAGTCTTTTATTTCTGTTATCCACGGTCGTTCGTCCACATCATGAAGTCCTGCCCGTGGCCTTCAGGCAGCAAGTCTATAACGCCCAGCCCCACCTGGCCCAGTCCATCCCTCGCCCAGACCCAGGGTGAGCTTTCTAGGAAGTCTGGGCACCACTCCTTCCCGGCTTAGAGTCCTCCAGTGACTGCCCATCATCCGCTGGTTAAGAT